TTATATGCATGCATACAAGTCCTTTGGTTTATCTCTTACCCTCCCACCCTCCCCTAACTTTTTAATATTAGGTAATTTATTTATCATTCCTGGGTCTCAATTTTCCTATTATTTAAATGGTGATAACACTCCCCTGCTTTAATCACAGAATTATTGTCAGGATATTATATGATGTACATGCAAGTGTTTTAAAAAGTACAAACTTATGCATCATCTTTATTTCATCTTTTTCTCTGCAAATGACTGGATCTTCTAGAGCAGCGGTTCTCAACCTGTGGGTCGCGACCCCTTTGGCGGTCGAATGACCCTTTCACAGGGGTCGCCTAAGACCATCCTGCATATCAGATATTTACATTACGATTCATAACAGTAGCAACATTACAGTTATGAAGTAGCAACGAAAATAATTTTATGGTTGGGTCACAACATGAGGAACTTATGTATTTAAAGGGTCAGAAGGTTGAGAAACACTGTTCTAGAGCTAAAGAGTCATACAACCAAACACGTATGGTGGGTACATCGCTTGCAATCTGGGGTCAGAGTTGCAGCCTGAAGGAAGTGTGTAAAAAGAATGAAGGCTGTGGGTTTTAATCCATAGGTAGCTGGACATAAGGCCAAGAGTTTCCAAAAACACTGAGAATTCAAAAGCATCACTTGGTATCCCATATTGATAACAAGCCATGATAATGACTATGTATTAAACTATTGAGAGAGAAAGAGAGAATGAGTGACTAAATCACACTAAACCATTTGATGCTGTCTTAAATGACAGGTTAGTAACAGTTATGGCTAGGTCCTATGCATAGTTTAGTCATAAAGGGAAGTTACAGCAAACTAGGCCAGCACAGTATTTCCGTCTTGTCTAATTAATCAATTTCAGCCTCCCCTCTTGTTCCTTGGACAAAAAGAAAGAGTAAAAAGAAGAAAAGGAGAGATTGAAAGGAGAAACAAAGTAATGGAAATATATCAATCACTTTTTTACCTTGAAGACGTAGAAAAAGGCCAGCTTATATATTTATATTCATTCCAGAACCTGTTCAATGTTTTATAATGTAATGTTCCATAAAAATAAATAGATCAAACAATAAAAAAGTACAAACTTATACAAATGTTTAATGATATATGTATTTATATTCAGCTGTCACAAATGATTTATTTTAAAGTTATTAATGCACCTAACCCTTTCTTTTTCAAAAATAATTTTTGATGTTGACACTGTTGTAGATGTCCTGCTTTGTCTCTTCAAATAGTCAACTTAAAATCAAGCCTGCCATTAAGACCTTGGTCTTAGTTTAACTGTGTTTTAATTACTGTAATTTAAATCACACAGTGAAAAAAACTTACTACGCCTTAAAATGAGTACAAGGAATGAATATTTAATTATACATAGTTTAAACTCATGAATACTTTCAGGTTTAAAATATAAATATAGCCACTTACTTTTCAATAATCTAACTTGAAATAGAAATTCATAGAGATGGAAAGTGGAAAAGAGATTGTCGGGGGCTGGTGGTAGAGGGGAACAGGGAATTAGTGTTTAATGGGCACAGAGTTTTAGTTTTGCAAGATGAAAAATTTCTGGAATCATAGTGGTAATTGTTGTACAACAACATGAAAGTACTTAATGCTCTTGAATTGTACACTTAAAAACAGCTAAAATAATAAATAAATAAATAAATAAATAAATGTTTTGCCAAATTCACTACCATCCTTTTTTCTTTTGTCTTTCCCTTTCTTTTGACCTTCTCTCTCTCCCTTCACCTTCCCTCACTCCCTCCCTCCTTTCTTCCCCTCCTTTCTCCCTTCTTTTTGACTTAAATCTTATTTCTCAAAGCACTTAATTCAGTCTTTTGCATGGTTTGGCCTGCAATTTTAAGAATCTCAATTTTTCTATACATTCTACAAGTGTGAGAAAAGACAAAGGAGACTTGATTCAAGACACAATTTTCCTTTATAGGACTATAGTGTCTACTATAAATGTTTCCAAGAAACATATTATTCTCATTTAAATGTTTTTTTTTTGGAAAAAAATCAAAAAAATACAGCACAAAATATGTAAGAATTTAGATTTACCTTTTCCAAATATCAAGATACTTAAAGATTCAGTCTTCTGAGATTCCAACACTCCAAACACAGGAAAAGTTCCTTTTGGCTTCTTTGTTTCTTAGCTTTTGGTTTACACCTCGGAAAGATAAGCTCAACCACACAAAATGAAATGGTTCTGCTTTCCATTCATGCCCTAGGACTGAACCAAACTAACAGGAAAATGATGTGGGCTGATCTCATATATGGTATGCTGATGAAGATCACAAACCAAAAGAGGATCTTGAAAGTTTTTATTCAAGATGCAAATGAAATGACTATGGGAAATGTTAACAGCAATAGTTTTTGTTGTTGTTGTTCAAGCAAAGACAGAGACAAGGTTATTTAAAAAATTTTAAGTTAAAACAAAAGCAGTGTGGAAACCAGCATATTTTGTAACAATAATTTAAAATAACTCAAACGTCCATCAAGAAGATAATGGTTAGATAAATTATGATACATCTATTCCATTAAATACAAAACTAAGGACTTTTAATAATGGAATGATAATAAGCATTTATTAAGTAATTACTACAAAACACATCTATACTAATAAAAGGGTAATATGCTAATTAGACCGGACATCTTCCAGACAAAGCCATGGTGGCGGGGGCTGAGGAAGAGGCAGTTAGAGGCAATTAGGCCGGCAGGGGAGAGCAGTTAAAGGTGACCAGGCCAGCAGGGGAGGGCAGTTAGGAGCAATCAGGCCAGCAGGCAGAGGTGGTTAGGGGTTATCAGGCAGGCAGACAGAGGCAGTTAGGGGTGATCAGGCATGCAGGCAGAGGCAGTTAGGGGCAGTCAGGCAGGCAGGCAGGTGAGCGGTTAGGAGCCAAAGGTCCCAGATTGGAGTGGGTGCAGGCCATGCTGAGGAACCACACACCCCCCGTGCATGAATTTTGTGCACCGGGCCTCTAGTAATTCAATAATAGAGAAAAAAACGGAAGCTATTATCTCCATGTAACAAAAGAAACAAATACAAAGAAAGGTTTTATACTTGTTGAAGACCAGAAAGCGAGGAAATGGTGGAACTATTACGTGCACCAGGCAATTGAATTCAGAACCCATGCTCTTAATTACTACACTGTATTACTTTCATGTGTACTGATGGAATGTGAGTTGCAGACAACATATACAGTATGATTGCATCATATATTGAACATGTAATATGTGCCAGGCACTTTTCTACATATTTCACATGTACTAACTATATAATCTTCATAACATCTCTATGAAACAGATATTATAATTGCCATTTTACATACAAGGAAACTGAAGAACAGAGAAGTTAGATAAGATGCCCAATACCACACAGTTGTAAGTGGTATAGAGTCTGGGTTTGGACACAGGAAGCCTGGCATCAAAGACTGTGCTTAACTTTCCTGCTATAACTGACTTTTTCTCCCTCTTAATTGAACTAATATATGTAATTATGTTTGTGGAAAAGGGTATAAATCAAACTGCTAATAATGGTTTATTCTGGTAGTAGGTGGCACATAGATGGTGAATGGGTAATATTACTTTTTACTTCCAATATTTCTATGTGGTTTGAATACTTCTACAAGGACCATGTATTCATGTATTATTTGCACAATTGAAAAATAAATAATTCACATACATAAAGGACAAGAAAAATTATTATACCTTCTTTAGAAATCATTTTCTCAGTCTTACAAGTTTCTGCCACATTCGTTAGAATGATTTTAAACCCAGATACAAACTCCCAAAGTATACTGAGAAGCATAAACAAAATTTCTACATAGTTGATACTTTGGGCTACAATTATCAATAAAGCTTTTTTTTAGCCAATAATTATTTTAAAGTAATTATCACAAATATCCCATAGAATAGGTTAATTCTAAATTTGTTTTTTTCATTTTTATTTTTTTAAAATTATGGGTGTGCCATCTACACTAATAAAAGAGAAACATGGTAATTAGCGTACGACCGCTACCCTTCCCATTGGCTAATCAGCATATCCTTATGCAAATTAACTGTCAGCCAAGATGGCGGCCGGCAGCCATGCACTGAAGCGA